CTCAATCATATGATAACTGTTACACATATATTTTCCGATATCTTATATCTCTAACAATGTCGTATATTTTCATTTCACGGAGCAAGTGATTGCTTGGAAGTGACACTTATACATTTTCCGATAAATATCATCCATTGCACACAAAGCTTCTTCAGTGAGGGTAGCTGCCCTAGTGGAGGCAAGGATTCACATCTCACACAGTTGTTTAAAACAATGTATTTATAATAATCCTGGAATGTTAATTATGGAAACATTTCCATTAAAACGATGAAGCATAAATAATCATGCCTACATTTCCTCTCTTCTTATCCTTTTATTTCTCTTCTCATTTGTTTTTTTTCTGATGTTTCCTTCTTGCTCTCATTTTCACATTTCCTTGCTTATTATCCTCTGCACCTTTAATTCCTACAATTCTCCACCTCGTTCATAATTTGAGGATGAACAAAATTTTGAACGAACAAATTGTGGTTAGTGTATCCGGTTGCACCATTTATAAAATGGCTGCCTACGTACCCCTGGCCGGGATCAAACTAATCGTAGTTCGATTATTTATCCATGTAATATCTAACATGGGATGACCTTTAGCAATTCCAAGCAATGTTGGAACTTGCTTCCTGACACCTCCATGAAGCTTACGAATGTATACACAACAATCATAATTACTTCTGGAAAAACCTTGCTTTAACATAAAGAAGTCAAATCGCATGTACCACTGTCGAGGAGATTGTTTCAATCCATAAAGTGATTTCCTCAAGCGACAAACCTGACTTTCTTTTCCCTCAACCTTGAATCCCTCAGGTTGATACATGTAGATTTCCTCCTCCAAGTCACCATGCAAGAACGCAGTCTTCACATCTAATTGTTCCAACTCAAGATCACCATGAGCGACAAGACTTAAAAGCACCCGTATGGATGTGTGCTTTACCACTGGAGAAAATATTTCATTATAATCTACACCTTCCTTTTGAGCATAACCCTTAGCCACTAACCTGGCTTTAAACCTTATACCACTTGACTCGTTAGGGTCTTTTTTTCTTTTATAGACCCACTTACAACCTATAGCAGTCTTCCCTACAGGCAATGGGACCACCTCCCATGTCTTGTTCTTATGAAGAGATTGCATCTCTTCTTCCATGGAAACCAACCAATTCTCACTATCCTTATCCCTGATAGCTTGTTTGAAGGTGACAGGTTCATCATCCTCCACCGAGAGTGCATACTCTACCAAATTTAACTACCCATAATGCCTTAGAGGTTTGTCTGACCCAAACTTCTGAACTAGTTTATAATTTCTCTTTGGCTTTGTTGATGCCAAAGAATCCTGATGCTGTTGTTGTAAAACATGTGCATTTTCCTGCTGAATTTCTTCATGATCAAGTTCATCCTCTTCCTCATATCGAGTTGCACTAGGATGCTCCACCTGAACATGAATAGAGTCTATTGGTTGCTCTTTAGACTCTATCTCCACCACTTGAGTATTTGAAGTTTCTCCAACATCACCATTACTTGGCGTCATAGCTTTGGATAAAGCTATCATAGATCGTTCATCAAAGGTCACATCCCTACTGATTACAAATTTAGAATCTTCTACACTCCAAAGACGATAGCCTTGAACTCCTTTTGAATACCCTAAAAAGATTGCTTTTTTAGCTCTATCATCAAGTTTATTATCTTTGACGTGATAATAAGTCGTGCATCCAAAAACTCTAAGTTTCCCGTAATCTGCATGTTCCCCTGACCACACTTTATAAGGTGTGTCTCCATCTAGAGAAGAGTGTGGGGATCGGTTCACTATGTAACAAGCAGCAGCAACCGACTCTTCCCACCATTCTCTGCCTAACCCAGAATTAGAGCGCATACACCTTGCCTTCTCAAGTAGTGTACGATTCAGTCTTTCTGCGACTCCATTCTGTTATGGTGTGTCTCGCACTGTCCAGTGTCTTACAATGCCCTGTTGATCACAAAACTCCTTGAAAGCACCATCTGTGTACTCTGTGCCATTATCAGATCGCAGAGTTTTTAGCTTCCTCCCTGTTCTGTTTTCAACCATTGCTCTCCGTCGCTTGAAAGTGTCGAATACCTCATTCTTATGCTTGAGAAAGTAAATCCAAGCATACCTTGAAAATCATTGACAAACGTAACAAAATACTTGGAACCACCCTTGGAAGTCACTTTAGCTGGACCCCATACATCTGTATGCACATAGTCTAACAACCCTTTGCTTTTATGCTTGCTTGTGCAAAACTTCACCCTATGCGCCTTTCCGTACACACAATGTTCACAAAATTCCATTTGTGGTTTCTTCATATTCTTCAGCAAACCTTGTCCACTAAGCAATGATAGACCTTTTTCCGACATATGCCCTAGCCGCATGTGCCATATTCTCGTGCATTCTGTGTGGTCTTTACTTCCACTGATTCCAATTGATAAATCACCTGTAACAGTATTTCCCAAAAGCGGATAAAGATTACCGTTACGAACTGCCTTCATCACAACCAAGGAACCACGAACAACTTTCATAATCCCGTTCTCCACAACTATTTTGCAACCATTTTTCTCTAACAAACCTATAGAGATTAGGTTTTTCCGCAAATCTGGATTATGTCTCACATCTTTCAAGGTTCTCACAACTCCATCATGCATCTTGATTCTAATTGTACCTAGCCCCACAGTTTTACAAGCATGATCATTGCCCATTAAAACTGTGCCCCCATTTGTGCTTTCATAAGTAGTAAACCACTTTCTATTTGGACACATATGGTGAGAGGCTCCTGAGTCAAGCATCCACTTACCGGAGATCTCATGAGATTCTTCAGTTACAGAGTAACAATCTTCCTCGCCATTTGAGACATAACTTGCTTCTTGTTTTTCTTTTGGGTTATCATTATTCTGATTCTTGAATATTACCCTCTTATTTGGGCAATTTGCTTTAAAGTGTCCAGGCTCACCACATTTAAAGCATGTCTTTTCCGCGTGAGGTCTAGTTTTTGTCCTAGATTTTCCACGCTTACATGTTCCTCTTTCATTTGTCCTTCCTCTAGTTGCAAACAATCCTTGTGCTTGATCCTTGTAATCTCTTCCACTTGAAGATGACATTACACTTGTAGCAACCTTACGTAGATCATCCGCTAAAAGTGATGCCCTCGTCTCATCCATGGTTAGAGTATCACCCACCAGCATCAAAGTTTGTACTAGGTTCTCGTAGGACTTTGGTAATGAAGTAATAAAATTAATGTCTGGTCCTCATCATCAATCTTCACATTTATGTCCTTTAAGTTTGATATAATCCTATCAAACTTGTTGACCTAATCCCGGATTGAGGTGCCTTCCTCCATCTTGCACGTATACAATTTGGATTTTAAATAGATCCTTTTAGTTAGAGTCTTCGTCATGAAATTACTCTCTAACTTTGCCCAAACGCCTGCTTTTGTTGCTTCTTCATTTACCAAGAAAGCAACATCTCTCTCAAGGCATAAGATTATAGCAGCCCGCGCCTCAAGATCTAATTCTTCCCAATCCTCATCCTTCATATCAGCCGGCATTTTCTCTTTCCCTAATAATGCCCTATGCAACTTTTGTGAAATAAGCAAATTTTTCATTTGCATCCTCCAATAGGAAAAATCATTTTTCCCATTAAATTTTTCAATTTCATATTTACCTACTTTGACATTTCCACTAGTAGAAGCCATTTTACACTAAATTGAATTTTACCACTCAAAATTTAGACGTTGGCTCTGATACCAATTGTTAGAGCTGCAGTGGAATTTGGCCTATTAATAGATATTAAATAATATGAAATGTAACACCTCTCACAAAAATGCAATACAGGAATGAGAAAAAATAACCAATATGAAGTAACAAAATATAACTTAAGAAATTAATCTCTCTTAATTATATTACTCTCTAATGTGAATTACAATGTTGATGATCAAAAAACTAAATTTAAAACAATGTATTTATAATAATCCTGGAATGTTAATTATGGAAACATTTCCATTAAAACAATGCAGCATAAATAATCATGCCTACATTTCCTCTCTTCTTATCCTTTTATTTCTCTTCTCATTTGTTTTTTTTTCTGATGTTTCCTTCTTGCTCTCATTTTCACATTTCCTTGCTTATTATCCTCTGCACCTTTAATTCCTACAATATATTTTTCGATATCTTATATCTCTAACAATGTCGTATATTTTCATTTCACGGAGCAAGTGATTGCTTGGAAGTGAAACTTATACATTTTCCGATAAATATCATCCTTTGCACACAAATAAAGCTTCTTCAGTGAGGGTAGCTGCCCTAGTGGAGGCAAGGATTCACATCTCACACGGTTGTTTAGTCTTATGACAACCATCTCGGTGAACGACGGATTCCCCATTCAACTCTAATTGTTTGATGGATTTCTGAGGCTGTAATTGGCCAAGTACATCTCTTTCGATGTTGTGATCAACTTCATGAGTAAAAGCCCCCCAATACATTCTCAAACATCGAGGCCTGATTTTTCATGCAACTTGGTATCTTGTGCATCTGAAGGAGTGTCCTCGATCAAGTATAGCAATTACTAAATATATTATAGGATTAATTAAAGAGATTATTAATTATGTTATTTTAGAAATTGTAATGTTTTGCTAGAAACCAACTACGATTTGCAGGCTTGATTTTCCATGCAACTTGGCATCTTGTGCATCTTGTGCATCTTCCCTCCTTCAAAGATTATAGTGTATGATGAGCTCCCAAGTGATATTTTTCCGAAATTTACTTCAAGGGATTGGCATAATTTATCTCGTCGACCTTTCATAGTACAGTTTCACAAGATATGAAATTGAGTTGGTGGTTAAGAATATGGGAGCAATAAAAAGAGTAATTGTCCATAATTTGACAAATAAAAAAACTTAAATTAGGTGAAAAAATTTAACATTTAAAATGTGTAAACGTGGCAATTTCAATTTCTACAAACTTAACAATCGTTGTACAATTAACAATCCTAACAATTTGGGTCAGGGATTGAGGTGTTGACGTTTTGTTTTTCTCCCTGTTTCGCTCACGCATTAGTGCAATTTTTTATTTCTTTTCAAAGCGGGGAATTGATGTTCATGCCCCCCTGTCTCCGACTCTCCGCCAATATACCTATTACGTTTGTATTTTAGTTAGTAAGATTTGCAACCCTAACTTTAATACCAAATGTCTCGTTATCACGTGAATGTACCTATTACGTTTGTATTCAACAAATTTCATGTTACTGACAAAAAAAAAATAGATTAAAATTGAAATATATATAATCAACAAATTTCATGTTACTGATAAAAAAAAAAAATTGATTAAAATTGAAACATATAAGAAAGGAGAAGCTTTATTCTTTACTTCTTTTATAAATGAAGACAGATGTACATGTCCCAAGCTGACTCCGTCACTGTATCTATTAAATTTGTATTTTGAGTGATAAAATTTGCAACACTAAACTTTAGTAACAAATGCCACAAATACCATGTGAATATCCTTTAAACAGATTTCATGTTACAAAAAAAAAATTGATTAAAATGAAACATATAATAAGAGAGTAAAAGCCTATGTGCTCCATAGCATTCACATAGCGGTTACATAGGGGGAAAAAATAATATGACCGTTGTCACAACTCTCATAAAAAATATGACCGTTAACCAATTCTATCCGTTAAACCACCTTCCCCGATTCAAATATCAGGTAATCTCCCCTGTTTCTCCTACTTTCCATTCTCTTCTCTCTTAAACTTTCTCTTTCACTCTCTTCTCAATCTAAACTATTTCCCATTTCTGTAATTAATTTCCCTTTTTTCTTCAACAATTATCTGAAATCCATCAACAATTAGTTCTAATTTCAGTTCCATTTTCGGAAAACTTTACTCTTTTTGTTCTTCAAACTCGAGTAATTATAATAAAATGGGAGAATCAAATGATACCCACATAGTAGAAATCCCAGCAAACCAAGATCAAAACCTGAAAACAGCAATAATGATTCAACAACACCCAATGATGGAAATCTCAAAAAGTCCAGGCCATTTACTCCTCCTTAAACTCTGGCAAAGAGAAGAACACCTCTTTGCCAGTCGAATCAACGTTAACGAATCCAAATTAGACAATCTCCGGCGTGAGATCTTCCACCTTTGTCTCTCCTTTCTTGTTTTCCATGCCTTTGTGACAACCCTCCTCTTTACCTCCTCCTGCTCATCATCGTCTATCCAAGGGGCTCATTCGGGTTTAACCCGATGTCAGAAATGGTGGGTGCCGTCCCTACTTGGGGCGGCAACCTCGAATGCTATTGCGGTGCTGGTGCAAGTCAAATTGTGGAGGTATTGGAAGGTCACTGAGAGGTTGAGGAGGGAGAAAACCGATTGCCGGGCGCTCGCCCGGTCGGTTCAAGAGCTCAGGATGAAAGGGGCTAGCTTTGATTTGGCTAAGGAGATGAGTTTTTGTAACATGAGCTATAAGATTAAGAAAAGCTCTAGTGTTGAGATTAAATGGAAGCCTAAGATTTGGTGTTCTAATAATTTGGTTACTTTTTGCTTAATTTTATTTGCAGGTCTTGCATTTCCTGCTCCCAAACTGTTTCTTTGCATAATTTGATGGGGTTTTTAAGTGCTAATTACTACAATTGGTATGTAATTATAAAGTACTGTAATTAACAAAAGATTTTTTTTTTTCCCTCTGTTTTTCATTTTTACATTTTGATTTTTGTTTCTTGATTTTGATTTTTATTTTTTGTTTTTCAGGGAAATGTTGGACTAACTTGGAAATTTTTGAGATTGAGGGATGAAGCAATGTGGTCCGGTTGAATTTTATTTTTTTTTAAAAGTGAAAAAGATTGAATTTGATGATTTGTACAAACAAAGCAAAAGTGACCACTGCTTGTGTGCTTAAGAAATTAATTTATCAATTTTTTGATTCATTTGTTTTGATAGAAAATAATGAGGAACATACATGATAGTGTATTTGATTCTTAATTACATGGTGTTTAATTTTACTTTATTTGTATTGTTGATTTTATTTCTTGGTGGTACACGTATGTCCAAATTTTAAACACTCAATTTTGTACAACTATTATACAAATAATTAGTAAACTGCATGAAAAGAACACTTAGTAAACTTATTTTCTTTCCCATACATTTTTCATACCATACTTAAAAAAGTATGCCGACATATTCTACCATTATATATTTCATTGTCCAATCAATTTTACTTACTTTTTTTCTCAAGATTAATCAAACACTTTTACTACGTATGGAAAAAATTGAATCCACAGTTTATAATAAGACATTACTCCGTAGAAGATTTGACATAAAGGGGGAAATTACAAGATGTACCTAATTTGTTTTCAAAAAAAAAAAACATTCTTTATTAGATGAACATATAAAAACTTCTTTCATCTAAAAGTGTCAAAATCTTACAACCCAAGTCAAATGATTGATTGATCGATATTACATGATGGAACAAGAAGCATTAGGGTTATCATCACTAAATATTTGAGTGTATTTCTCATGGGGGCCATCATTATTGTTACCAGCATATGCTTGAGGTGCATTCTTGACATAACCTGAGGGTGCTTTCTTGTCATAAGCTTGAGCTGCATAAGGGTATGCTACCATAGTGTATGGAACATATGGCCAAAACTCTGCTCTCTTCCCTGTGCTCTTCACTTTGTTTAACACCCTATTCGGCTCTACGTTTCCGGTTACTGTTACTTTGCTCAGCTTCCGGTTCACATCCACGGATTTCACTCCTATGTATATAATATGAGCATACGCTGACATGTTAGTATATTTGATATTTTGGTAATGTAAGGTACAACAAAGCTCTCTAAAAGCAGTTTTAATATTCGATGTCATAACTTGGAAAGCACAAAGGCAGATACAAGTCATACAACCAATTAAGCCAACTACACTCTTCAACACACGTATTTATTATTTATTAATAGTAAATTGGTCGAAAATTGTACAACTCCAGTCCTTAACACGATTGTAAGAATAATAATTGAAGAAGTTCTCATAACTTTTGTTCTCTTATTCAGTACTTTGTTTTAGGAGTTATACATGCCACATGCTTAAAATTAAGATATTTATAAATTTCTAACATAAATTCTCATAAATTACTTTTTAATTTAGCAATTCTTAGAACAAACTATGTCAAACTTTCTGATATCTTTGATACATGAGAGAATTAGTGCATGCAAGTGATCAAATTAGAGAAATTAAGGTGTGTTTAAGTGTACATTTGTAGTCTTCTTAAAAAAAGAAATTCACATACATGAGAGAATTAGTGCATGCAAGTGATCAAATTAGAGAAATTAAGGTGTGTTTAAGTGTACATTTGTAGTCTTCTTAAAAAAAGAAATTCACAAACCAAATGGTAGATATAATTAGGACATATCAGTGTATTTACCTTTGATATGAATGACAGAGTTTCTGACTCTTCTTTCACAACCATCACAGTCCATTTTCACCTTGATCTCAACAGTCTGTTGTCACATAAATGAAGACTACACATAGTTAGTACAAATTTTCGCGGTTCTCATTATATGATTTATATGAACAACAATATGAGTTCCTAGACATCAAAATAAAGACTCCAAACCAAGTAAAGAAATAAAAGAATAGAGGGACTAAAGGAAAAATATGAACAAGAGATCATAAGATTATGAACATAGTACAAAAAAATGAGAAAGGTCACCTGCATTGGCTTACGTTTCTTATGTCTAGGGATCGAAGCATCGAAAAAGTCCAAGATATGATTTAAGAACCCCATGTCTTTCTTTCAATATGTCGCGCTTCTCTTACTGATGCCAATGCAGATTCAGAGAAAATGATCAGGAGCTAAACTAGTTTGCAAGTTGTAATTCTGTTTGACCTGTTTTTTGGATTTGATTCAACTAGCAGCCTAGCATAATAACCCCTTAAAAAAGCTAATTTTTGGGTGGGCTAAAGATGGTAGAAAAAGCAAGTTGTGGTCTCAAAAGAATTATTCTTCTTTTTGGAAAGTAAAGCTAAGCAACCATGTATGGAGGGTTTGGAATAAGTTGATATCCATGGTCCCATTTTCGCCATATAAAATCTTATGGTAAGTTGCATAATTCGATGACTATTATCATAGAACACAAGTATAGACGTGTAATTGTAGTATTTTTGACAGCTAAAATCGATCATATATGTGTGTATGATTCAACTAACTAATATGCTAATGAAAATGTCAAAAAGCATAGAGAATGTTATAAAAGTTAGGTGATGTAGTCATAACAGATCAGAACAGAATCTGATGAAGAGACTAGAAAACGCTTACTTATTTTGATCTTAGTCAGAACACTCATAAGAGATCAGAATCTAAAGATTGAGACAGTCATCGCGATCATCTGAAGTTAGCTTCTGTCATTCTGATCTCAAGCTGACTAATAATGATACTAGTATGTACTATATATAGTCTATATTATCCCCTGCTAGATTATTGTTATGTATGACTCCGATTTATTGGTTGGGTTTCGTCGAAGCTTCATAGACTATGGCATCCGTATGATCATTGGCAGCTTTGATTATCCGAATTATCTATGTTTGAGTTAGTACTTGAAGCTAAGGATTAAATGAGCAAATTGCTAAATGATGCGTGGAAATTTTGTTAGCTGTAAATGAGCAAAATTGTTAAGAAATAGCATGTGTAACCAAGTTGCTAAGGATTAAATGAGCAAATTGTTAAATGAGGCAATAGCATGTGTAACCAAATTGCTAAATGATGCATGGAAATTTTTTTAGCTGTAAACTTGAAACCTCGAGAAAAATTAGGGGAACTAAACGAAGTTGAACTGAACTGATGAGATTATGTAAAATAAGTCCAAAGGAACAAGGCTTAAGTTAACCAAAAGCACGTACGAATGTAATTATGTACATGTAAGGGAAAGATAAGGTTTTTGAACTTTTTTTTCTCATACCAATTCATCACTTTTATTTATACCAACACATCTTCAACTTTAATACTAGTAAAAAGGTTTTTTCATGTGGAAAAACGTAACATTTTGATGGTTTTACCATAATAGAAAGCATCATGGATGAAAGAGTTTCCTCCAAAAGGCTGCATTATTATTTGATTGGACAAAAGACATTTTCAACTTTAATAAATGGATTTTCATGTGGAAAATCGTAATTGAATATTAACTTCTCTTTGTTCGGCTAGCTCTATTCTCCAACCTTTATTTCTTTTAGTGATAATAAGATCAAATAAGTTAAAATCAAGATTAAAATATAATTTATTGTTATAAATAAGTAAAGTTTGAGATTGGGCCAATATGTTATAATAAGGAAAATCATTTAGGGTTGAAGAGAACACAATATAAGATAAAAAGAGAAACAGGGGAAGGGGATGAAGAGAGAAAGTGATGAGATATAGAATTCAATTAGTTATCGACTTATCGTTACCTATAGGTACTTTGGAACATTATCATGTGTTCGGCGTTAAATTGCCACAAAAACTTTTCATGATCTTTTAATGTGGATAATACTATTATTAGTATGCTCTTTTAAATTAATAATATAATCATAAATGCGTGCATGTGAGCATGTCCATATCCATCATGCTTGTACTAATAAATGCTCATGGAAAATTATATGCACACACTTTTTCTAATCTTCAATTGCCAAAGATTTACATACATCGTTGTACATAGATACGTATAGGTATACTTGTACTCATACACGTAACAAGCTCATATGACATGCACATTTGGTTGTTCCATGTAAAGACTCTAGTTTATTCTTCTTCATCGTGTATATTCTAAGGTAAGAAGTCTTATCAAATGGGTCAAGTCTTACTCATATTGAAACGCACAATATATTTGATAGATATTTATTATTTCATCATACATGTACATTTATTGGTTCAGGTACTCAGTCAATTTTGTTAGCCCCTGATACGTACCTTATCCATCACTAGCCATAGATGCAAATCATTATAGTCATCGGTCTCATTGCCGATATCTTCATCTTTAATTATTAAAAAGAATAATTTTGTAAGCCGATCAAAAATGTATATACTGAATAGGTGTCAATTTAAGACAATAGTTGGCTTCAGATAAGGTCTAGTTAGGTCTACTAATCATTTCAAAATTGAGTCTTGCTACATTATTATTATCTCCATGCATATCAAATTTTGAATCAGGTCATTTCAAATTAGGTCAGGATATTTCAAATTGGGTTAGTACTTGACACCTCTAAGATTATAGCCGATCCCATATGAGCTTGAACAATTCGGAAGAATCTAAAGTACTACCACAAGGGTAGTGGTTCACTGGTTCATCACATTGTTGAGGTACTAATTATCACATGAAAGTGCTCCCTTAACCCCCAAAATAGATGGTACGTACTAGTTAAAGCTCGACCACCATCTACTTGATTGCTTGAATATAAAAATTTATGACACATGACACATCAAATCAATGGTGAAATTCTCTATTAATTATCTGAAAGTAGGGTAAACCTAAATATTGGAACATCTTCTAATTCATTTTTCTAACAAAATCTACCATACCAATATAGTTCAATGAGAAATTTGGGACATTATCATCTAATTGGAGCGTAATATGATGAACTATATGATTCCCTTTATCACAAACAAAAAAAATAGAGCACAATTTCCCCTACTCTTACTATTACCAATTGATTTTAGTATGAAATCTCATTAGATCTTGTTTGTGAACCGAGCACTCTTCCTCTTTATATGTATTGCCCAGATTCATTTCATATTGTCTTGATATTTAACATGAATCCCTCCATCACAAACAAAAAAATAAAACATGGGTTTACCATGGTCCACACTAGAGATGGCAATGGATCGGATTCGGATTGGGTGGAGCTTCACCCGCATCCATCCATTATTCTAATCGCTCCATCCACATTCATCCTTCACCCGCTTCGATGAAGTTGGTGGAGCGGATGACAAATGGATGACTATTAAAGTGAAAAAAAAACTCACATAAATTCTAATTTTCGGTTATTTATACAATTTTTTTTTATTTTATTAATAAAAACGGAAACAATAACAACATATTGTTTGAAAAAATAATTTGCAACAAAAAAACAAGTAATTTTCTTGCACATTTCATATTTTATTATTTAAATTCTTAGATTAAAAATTTAATATATGTTAAACGGGTGGTTGGATGGTTAGCGGGTGAAAAAAGTATCATCCACAACCGATTTGATCCATCACCTGCTTCATCCGTCACCCACTTCTCATCCATTTAATTCAGGTTTTCGTCCATTTATTTAAAGCGGGTTAACGGATATCCACTTAATATTGTCATCCCTAGTCCACACTTAATTATCACTTACTTAATCATTTTAAAACAAAAAGACTTAGAAAAGGAAGAAGAACAATACTAGAATTGGGTTTATGGCGTTTACCATTGGGCCTTAATGCTTGGTAACTCACAGAGAGATTTTGGTGGGCCTTGTGTTCTATTTATAACATTTTTACAATGCTGAGTATTTTTTTAATACTAGTACTTTCTCTGTATTTTATTCACTTCATTTTAACCATTTTTTTCTAACTATATGCAGAGTATAATAAAATATACAGAGTAGCTGTGATGCATCTTGTTGGATTCATCTCAATATACATGTTTTAAAACAAAATAATTATAATTTTATAATTATAAGTTGGTAAATATACGAAGTCTGAATGAAACAACTAAAATATGGATGATGTAAATCTTGTTTTTCACTAATTTACTTTACAAATATGTATCATATAAAACATTTAAAAATAAAAATGAAAATGAAAAAATTGTGTCAATTTGTCAATATTCTTATAGGCATTCTACACAATCAAGTAGCTACAAACTACTACAGTAGTAAAAATATTTACCAACTTGGTACAAACAACTAACACAAACCGTAATTCTAATGAGTAACTGTGTATTGCATTAGATAACTGATAACAACAACGTTCGTAATAAATTAATAATAGCTACTTCGTATTGTTAATATCAACCAGGGTCATAATCTTACCAAGCCACTGGCTGGTTTGCTACCTTATCATGAGACATCTTTATAACTTTATTCGACCCAAGGCCATACCCAAAAATGATATAGGAAGATAAAACAAAAGCCATTTAAATTTTTATTTAAGAAAAAAAAAAAAAAAAAAAAAAAAAAAAAAAAAAAAAAAACCCTCCCTAAAGTTTTTTAATTAAAAGAAAAAAATGTAAAGTAATTAATAATTTTTACACGTGTATGGCCATCATAGGTACAACACCTAGGTTAAATATAATTGGACCCACTAATTTTGTAATGCTATGTGGATTGAAAACCAGAAGGCCCAACTTAAAGACAATTAATAATTGACATCATTATTAATTTGGCTTGATTAGCGAAAAGCCGACTCTCAGTATTTTGTGCATAATCTCTCGGCCCAATGTCTATTTGCTAAGTGCAAACTTAGCATGTGGTTGCTTCTTTATCCTAATCTTATGTCATCTATTAACACCCTTCCTATAATCCATTATCCATGCAGGAATTGGATTAGTTAACTTTAATAGTGTGTTTTATTCACCTAATTATATTGTTATTTATTAATGGTAGTAAGTGGGTTACTTGGATTATATTCATTCCAACTTACTTCGTAGATTATTGTGAGTATTCATTTTGTTTGATTTCATGTCAGTTCAAATTTGTACGATACAATATGAAATTGACTTGAATATTAAGTTACATATGAACTTTTATAGTAGTTGATACATAATACACATTAATAGTTCAAAATATAGTGCGATGAAGAAATCATTAAAAAATTTACATGTACATTAGTGTATTTATATAAGATGATTTGTTGTCAGGTGATTTATTTTACATATTTTAAACCTTTAAATAATAAAAGTATTACTCTTATGTACAAGGGTGTGTTCTATT